TCTCAATAAACCGGAGGCTTGATTGGGTTAACATCAACTTGCCTTCGTCTCTTTTTGTCTCCCCCATGTCTTTTATTTAATCCCTGTTTCTCCTCCAGGAGTTCCAAACTTGTTGATCTGCAGGCCGGATCAAGTGGCGCCCAACGTGGGGCCCCTGGCACAGAGAAGTTAACAAGGGAGCCGTTCGAGAGACAGCCGGCTTAAACCGAAAGTAAAAACAAATTAAACCAGAGACCTCGGCCGAGGAATAAATAAACTAAATCAAGGATTAAAGCTTAAAGCAACAGGACATTAAATCAAGTGCCGAGACCTGCGCAGACGACTACCCGACGTCCTGCCCGAGTCACGGTGAGTAAACGACAACCCCATTTCCCTTTCCCGACATGGGTCAAGTATTGAGCGAACACAAAGTGTTCGTCGGAGGCCTTATAAAGGCATTAAAGACAAGAGAGATAAGGGTTAAAAAACAAAAATTATTACAGTATTTTCAGTTTATTCATAAGGTTTGCCCTTGGTTCCCCCTAGAGGGTTCTATAAATACCAAGAGGTGAAATACAGTAAGAGATGTTTTAAAAAATTATTATAGAGTTTTCGGTCCAAAAAAGGTTCCTGTGACCACCTTTACATATTGGAATTTAATTTCTGAGCTTCTTGCCCAGAGGCATGCAGACCCTCAGGTTAAAGAGACAGCTGCACTGGGTGAGGCTGCCTTGCGCGACTCCCTTAAATCTACCTCAAAACCATCCTCAAAAAAATCTAAAGCCTCTGATTTCTCAGATGCAGAGAATGATGGCCTGTTAGAGGTCCTTATACATGGTGATCTGCCACCACTTCCACCTGTTGACATGATCAGCAGGTCCCAGAATGACAGCCCGCTACTCCTTGTGCCTCCATGGCCAATTGGGGATTCATATAAGCCTTTAAAAACAACCTTAACTCTAAAAAGCTTACAGCCGCAAGGCAGCTGGTACAGGACCAGTTAGATGCAGGACACATTGTTCCTAATAATTCCCCTTAAAACACACCTATCTTTGTTATCCAGAAAAGGTCAAGAAAATAGAGGCTGCTACAAGACCTTAGGACAATAAATAAGACAATGGTCTTAAAGGGGCCTCTACAGCCTGGCCTCCCCTCAGTGCCATTCCTTTAGGATTTTTTAAAATTGTCATAGATCTTAAAGATTGCTTTTCTCTATTCCTTTACACTTCATGACTTCCAAAAACTATTGGGAGATATTAATTGGCTCATACCATTTTTAAAACTAACTAAACATGATTTACAGCCCCTTTATGCGCTGCTTTGGAGAGACATAGATCCAACTTCCCCCCGAGAGCTTACACCTGATGCCAGGAGAGCGCTCAGTAAAGTAAAAGAGGCTATTGCTCAACAAACTGTTTCCTTTATAGACTACAATGAGCCTTTACAGTTTCTCATTTTTAATACAAAGCTTTGCCCTACAACAGTGTTCTGACAACAAGCTCCCCTCATGTGGGTCCATTTACCAGTCTCTCCAAAAAAAACACTTTTGCCTTATTTCCAAGCTGTCTCAGACCTAATAATCCAGGGTAAAAAGCAGAAAAAATGTTACTTTGACAAAAAACCAGACATTATCATTCAACCTTTTACAAAAGACCAAATAGATTGGCTACTTCAGAGTACTAAAGTGTGGCCTATTGCCTTAGCTTCCTATTCAGGAACTATTGACAATCATTACCCTCCAAATAAGCTAGTTGACTTTGCTAATCGTCACTCATTTATATTCCCTAAAGTCACAGCTTCACAACCCCTTCCGGGTGCCCTGGTTTTATTCACTGATGGCTCATCCTCTGGAAGAGCTGCTTATGTATCTCAAGACAATGTTTCTACCCTCCAGGCAGATACTTCCTCTGCACAATTAGCAGAGTTAAAAGCTATTCTTACAGCTTTTGCTGCTTACTCTGACCAACCATTTAATTTATATACTGACAGTGCTTACCTTGCTCAGTCTGTTCCATTATTAGAGACTATTGCTATTATATGTCATGCTTCCCCAGCTACAAATCTGTTCAAACAATTACAATGCTTCATATGGCTTCGGCGTCATAAGTTCTTTATCGGTCATCTGCGAGCTCATTCCAACCTCCCAGGGCCTCTTGCCCAAAAAAATCATTTGGCTGATGTTGCTATACGAGCACAGGTTTTTATGGCTCAGGACTCCAAGGTGTCTGAGGCCCAACAAGCCCACCAGCTACATCACCTCAATGCTCACACCCTCCGCCTTCTCTACAAAATTACCCATGAGCAAGCCAGACAAATTATAAAAAATTGCCCATCTTGTGCTATCCACTCACCTGTTCAACACCTAGGAGTCAACCCTAGAGGTTTAATTCCTAATGCCTTATGGCAAATGGATGTTACCCATTTCAATAAGTTTGGCAATCTAAAATATATACATGTCATTATTGACACTTATAGTGGCTTCATTTTTGCCACTCTCCAGACTGGAGAAGCTGCTAAACACATTATAGCCCATATGCTGTCAGCCTTCTCAATTCTGGGATGTCCTCAACAGCTCAAGACTGATAATGGCCCTAACTCTATACCAGTACCTCCTTTGCTCAATTTTGTAAAAGCCTTAATATCCTCCACACTACAGATATACCTTACAATCCTCAGGGACAAGGCATTGTTAAACATGCGCATCGTTCTCTTAAATTCACCATAGATAAAATAAAAAGGGAGACATGATACCCCACCCAGGGGTCCCCTAAAAATGTCCTTTCACATGCTCTTTTTATTTTAAATTTTCTAACCCTGGATGCTTCAGGCTGCTCCGCAGCATCTCGGTTTTGACATACTCAGACTCAAACACGGTTTGCATCTGTTTTATAGAGAGACCCACTAACCAATGTGTAAAATGGCCCTGATCCAGTCCTTATCTGGGGACGAGGTTCAGTGTGTGTTTACTCTCAACAAGATAAAAAAGCTAGATGGCTACCTAAACGCCTCATAAAACAAGTAGACAGTTCTTTAAAGAACTGTCTTTAAAAAACTAAAGACCCCATATAACGCCCAGAAATAATGTTATTTCCTGAGGCACAATCCCCTGTGTTCTCTTACAGGTGACACATCTCCCTAGAGCCTTATGCTGCTTAACCAGCCTTCTTGAGCCACACCACACCCATGGTGGATTTTGACCCCTGCCAAACAGACTACAACTGCTGACAGCCATACACAAAACCCCATGACTGTAAAAGAGGCTCTTCTCGGTCTAAAAAAACATACGCCAGCCAAATAGACTACATCCAGTGTTATACAAGACATGCTCCAAGACACAAAAAAATGACTTCATACAGAGACACCAACAAATGACTGTCAACCCCTTCTCCTTGATTTTGGGGGGGGGGGAGTTTTTCCCTTACCTAGTCCCACTTTTGGGTCCCCTAGCTGACCTATTGTTTCTCATTTCTGTGAGTCTTATATTTTTCAAAAGATTATGATGTTCATTAATAACCGGATAAACACATTTATGACAAAGCCCATTCAGGTACACTACCATCAGCTAGAGATAACAGATCAACAAACCTACAAAAAAAAAATTCCCACGAGTGGCCCATATGATGATGCGGCCTGACTGCCCTGGGGCAATGGACAGGCAGTCAGAGACGGGCAACTAAGACATACATGTTAATTCCAACGGCCACCTAAGACAGACACAAGACCAACTACTATTCTACAAGCCCATGACGGGTAAAGCCTGGTTGGGTTCATACAATGAGGTCCTTGACCTAAGACAGACGCTGTCCTCACAGGGCCTGCCATACTCTTAATTAAATAATATAAAAAGAGAGGAGATGTAGGGAGCCGAGTGACAGGCATTGCTGCCTAGATGTCTCTCTCTCTCTCTCCTATGGGCACTGCGTCTGCCTACATTAACCATAATCCTCTTCTGCTTACGTCACTTATCCGGATGTGATGGTAACCCTGTTATATTCATCTGTTTAACCTCTTCCTGTCCCAGCTCCCGCCCTTAGCCTATAAAAGGTGTGATTATTTTCTCAATAAACCGGAGGCTTGATTGGGTTAACATCAACTTGCCTTCGTCTCTTTTTGTCTCCCCCATGTCTTTTATTTAATCCCCGTTTCTCCTCCAGGAGTTCCAAACTTGTTGATCTACAGGCCAAATCAACACACGATTAGCCAAATTTAACCAAAATTCTATTTCATTCTCTCTACAACAAAGGAGGAAAAGGAGTCCTCTTGTTTCCTTCCTGATATTCCCCACTGTTTAAGTGTTTGTCCTGGCAGCGATGATAATGAACCAGTGTTCTCTGCATGAGTCTGAAAGGGCAGAGAGTATCTAATACAGCAAAAGCCTTTTTGTAATGTTTCCAGGGTATCCTGACCTGCTCTAAACAACAGTCAGTGGGTTATCTTCTGAAGATTACTGAGGAAGTTCTCTGGGTACAAAACCTTTTCTAAAAGTCCAGGCTGTAAATAGTTTAGCTTTGCAGGCCAAATGCAACCCTCATCTCCACCATCATGGCTCCAAAGTACTACAGACCGTATGTAAGTTAAGGAGCATATGGCAGTGTTTCAATAAAACTTTACTTCCAAAACTCCTCTAAAGGAAACTAGTTTCTCACTATATGGGTCATGAGAAATAAACTTTCCAAGTTGGGTGTAGTGGCACATGCCTGTAACCCAGCACTTGGGAGGCTGAGACAGGAGGATCCTTACAAGTTCAACACCAGTCTGGGCTACAAAGTAAACTCAAATACAGCCTGAACTGCATAGCAAGACTCTGTCTCAAAAAGACAGGGAGGAAGGAAGGAAGGAAGGAAGGAAGGAAGGAAGGAAGGAAGGAAGGAGGCAGGGAGGGAGGGAGGGAGGGAGGAAGAGGAAAGTTAGTTCCCTGCCACTGCCCCTGCTCCCCACAATCTGTTTCTCCAGTTTCCCTTGCTTCCTTCCCGCCTATGCTGACTCCTACCCTGTCTGTCCTCTAGGTAACATCTCTCGGGGAGATGGAAAGAGTCAATTACACTCTGCTAACTGAGTTCATCCTGACAGGAATTCCCTGCCCACCCAGGCTAAGGACATTCCTTTTCACATTCTTCTTGCTGATCTACACCCTGACCCAGCTGGGGAACCTGTTAATTCTGATCACCGTCTGGGCAGACCCGCAACTCCACGCCCGCCCCATGTACATCTTTCTTGGTGTTCTCTCCCTCATCGACATGGGCATCTCCTCCATCATCGTGCCTCGCTTCATGATGAACTTCATCTTGAGTCTCAATTCCATCTCATTTGGCGGCTGTGTGGCCCAGCTCTATTTCTATCACTTCCTGGGCAGCACCCAGTGCTTCCTCTACACTCTGATGGCCTATGACAGGTACCTGGCAATCTGCCGGCCCCTACACTACCCGGTGCTCATGACTGCTAAGCTGAGCACCTCACTCGTGGCCGGGGCGTGGGTGGCTGGCTCCTTCCATGGAGCTCTTCAAGCCCTTCTGACTTTCCGCCTGCCCTACTGCGGGCCCAATCAGGTAGATTACTTCTTCTGTGATATCCCGGCGGTCTTGACGCTGGCCTGCACTGACACCACCGTCAACGAGCTGGTGACCTTTGTGGACATCGGGGTGGTGGTTGCCAGCTGCTTCTCCCTGATCCTCCTCTCCTATGCTCACATCCTCCAGGCAGTCCTGAGGATCCGCACTGCTGCTGGAAGGCACCGGGCCTTCTCAACCTGTGGAGCCCACATAACCGTGGTCACTGTGTACTATGTGCCCTGTGCCTTCATCTATCTGAGCCCTGAAACCAGCAGCCCCCTGGATGGGGCGGCTGCTCTGTTCCCCACAGCCATTACTCCCTTCCTCAACCCCCTCATCTACACGCTGAGGAACCAAGAAGTAAAGATGGCGCTAAAGAGAATGTTAAGAGGCCCGAGGCCTAAAAGGAAGAGTTGAAAGTGTCTGTTTCCCACTGGGGAAACCTTCACATTGACAGTTCGTTCTAATGCTTCGGTTTCAGACTGGGGGTTTTTTCTCTTTCCTCCTCTTCCTCCTCCTCTTCTTCTCCTCCTCCTCCTCCTCCTCCTTCTTTTTTGTTATTCGTTTTCAAGTTGTCACATCACATGCGTGCAGTAAAATCAGTACAGCTTCAGGTAAAATACAATTTCCTACCTGTTCCTTGTTATCTCCTCCAGATAAACAGCTCTCTGCTGCTACAACAGTATAAAATGAGACTAGAGCCGCCCAGAGGACATCAGAAGATGACCACTCAAGCACCCAGAGACACTGGCACAGTAAAAGCATCCAATGGGCTTTTCAGTCTCTAGTCTGTCCCTGACCAAGTTCTCATAAGATAAATGATAGTTTTCTTGATGCGGCATTGTTTTTAAATTCTGTTCCTGTTGCATATACGTCCTAGGAGCTAGTGTCGGATAAAGAAGTCCAGATGCCCTGCACAAGCCTGACTTTGGGAAATTCCTGTGGTCACCCTGGGTGTGTGAAGAGGGACAATATGCTTACTCTCTCTTGCCTGCTAAAGAAATAAATCTTTTCTTAACCTGGTGCTTTCACACACAAACCAAATTCAATAACCCAAAAGAAAGAATGCAATAGTTTTCTCGAATGATTCAGTAATAAATTCCTGCACTCCAAAAAAGCAAAGCTCAGTATGAAATTTCCCATTGAAAGAAATTAAGGAAATTGATCAGGGCACCAAATCAGTTTCTCATATTGATTTATATTTGTGAGACTGTTGAGCATTCATTGAACTGGCCAGAGCCTAATAAATGTGGACAAATGTCATGCAGCAGCTCTGACATTTACCTCTTAACATCACCATCTTTTCTGCTTCTGCTCTTTCTCCAGCTGTTTAAACAGGTTAACTACTGCACTGCGTAATGACCACACATTATCTACAAAGCTAAGTCTCTCGGTCTGGCAGAGTTTCAAGCTCTGTCATGTAACTGTTCTCCCTAAAGGAATCACAAGTTAACTTAATTTTTCAAGTACTCAGAAAACTAGGTGTCCCTTAGATGAAGCTGACCCAAACAATTCTTGAATATTTTTTTCAGAAAACAGATGATACACTAAGTATCAACCTGCTCAAACTATAATATCACTTAGAAAATATTGTAATCTTTCAAATTTTTTTATCAGATAAAATAGTTGACTAATGAATTATAAGAACAAGCTTAGTGACAGCTTTTTTTTATTTTAAAGGTAGTAAAATACAACAGAACAAAACCAGTCAAGACAACGCAGTGAGATTCGTACAGAACATCATAGCAGGTTACCGGGATAACAGTAATAGGTGCCATAGTATATCTCGTTACCTTCACAATAGTTGTCCATTCGATCAGGTGCAGCAAAATCAAACCAAAAACAGGACATTTTAAAACCTATCAAAACAAAATGTTAAATAGAGCAAAACAATAAATCAGAACAAAGTTTTAAAGCCCAGTGTAAGGGATCTTGGTCCAATCCCCGTTACTGAAAGAATGCATGAAAAAATAAATGCACGTCAGAGGTGCTTGCATATCTCTGTAACCCTAGCACTCTGGAACCAACACAGGAAGATTGCAAGTTTGAGTCCAGTCTGGGAAAGTTAGTGGCTTAGCAAGACTCTATCTCAAAACATAAAATAAAACAGGCCTGAGGATGCAGCTTGATACAAAGGTTTTTTTGTTTGTTTGTTTGTTTGCTTGGTTTGTTTGATTTGTCTTTTTGAGAAAAAGTCACACTGTGCAATTCGGGCTGGCCTTGAGCTCATTTTGTAGCCCAGACTGGTCTCAGACTCACAACAGTCCTCCTACCTCAGCCTCCTGAGTGCTGGAGTTACAGACAGGCACAATCATGCCTGGCTAGTACAAAGGTTTTGAGTTCAATCTCCAGTAGCACAAAATAATAAACTAAAAATTCAAAGAATGGTGAGAATGCATGGAAAATAATATGGTGGTTTCTCAAAAAATTAAGAATAGAATTATAATATGGTCCTTCCATTGCACTCCTGTATATGTAATCAAAAGAATTGAAAGGCCAGTCTCAAAGAGATATATGTGCACCCATATTCATAACAGCATTATTCACAAAAGTCCAAAAGTGGAAGGAATCAAGTGTTCACAGATAAATCAATAAACAAAAAGTGGTACATAGATACAGCATTGTGTTGGTTACTTTCCTCTCCTTGCTGAAACAAAATACCAGATGCCCAAAATCAAGGAAAGAAAAGTTATTTAGTTCACAGTTTGTGGAGGTTTCAGTGTGTAATCTGCTGGCTCCAAGGCAGAGCAGTGTGGCTAAGGGGCAACAGTGCATGGCAGCAGAAAACAGCAAAAGCAATGAGAGCTAAAAGGGGAGGACAGAGAAAGCAAGTCTCTCCCTCTCTTATATTGTATGCAGGCTACCTGCCCCAGTGCAGCTATAGCATTCACACCCATAATCCCAGCATTGGACTGAATCAGTCACAAATCCTAGAAGCTTGCCCCCATGACTGCATGAGCCTTTGGGGGATATCTACTGTTACAATTGATACATTGTGTCAACTTGAGAAGTTTAGAAGTTTAACTAAGAGAGAAGCCAGGGTTCTTATTTTGTAAAAATCCTCATCTGGTACAAGAGGAAGGCACAGAGATTTTGTGAGTGCTACACCCTCCCTGGAGCAGAGGTGGCCTGTGTATGATATAAGGGAGGAGAAGAGGCTTGTTTTGCCTTTTTGCTCTGGCTGCTGCCTTGAAGTGCTGCCACAGTGCCATGCCACCCTGCCTCAGAGCCAGCTGATTATAGACTGAAACCTCCACTAGCAGGACACTGAATAGACTTTTCCTTCCTTCATTCCAGGTGTCAGGTGTGTTGTCCCAGCAACGAGAGAAAAGTTACCAAGGCATTCACACAAACCATAAAAGAAATATTGTTCAGCATTAAAAATGCATGAAATTCAGACCTTGTTATATGGGTGGGAACTTAAAGACATTATGCTACATGAAATAAAGCAGTTACAATACTCTATGAATCCATTTACATGAAGAGAGATACATCAGATTCATAGAAACAGAAAGCAGGGGGCTGGGGATTTAGCTCAGCAGCATAAGCGCCTGCCTTGCAGGCAGGCAGTCATGAGTTCGATCCCTGATACCGATAAAAAGGAAAAAGACAAAAAAAAAAAAAAAGAAAGAAAGAAAGAAAGAAAGAAAGAAAGAAAGAAACAGAAAGCAGAATGGTAGCTGCCAGGACCTGGCAGGAAGCAGTAATCAAGATTGTTGTTTAATTAGTATAGAACCTTAGCTTTGCAAGAAGAAAAGTGTTTTGGAGCTTGATTGCATAGCACTATGGATATATTAAACTCCACTACCCAGGCATGCTGGCATATGCCTATCACCTAGCACTCAGGAGGCTGAGGCAGGATGCCACTATTTCAAGGCCACGCTGGACTACACAGAGAGACACTGTGTCCAAGAAATAAAAATAAAACACCACTGAAATGTATACCTAAACATAGTTAATTGGTAGGTTTTTGCATTATTTATATTTTACCATAAATAAAACTCCAATAAGACAAAGAGACTGGGGGGAGAAGGTGTATATGCCAAAGGATCAGCTATATGTTTATGGAAGCCAGGTAAACATAGGGCTTCATTCTATCATTCTCTTTACTTGTGCATGTTTGGAATTTTCCATAATATAAAGGTTTTTAAAAAACCATATCCATGAAAATCCCAGGAAAGTTTTCCAAACAGAAGGAAAAGCTAGTACAAGGCTGTAGGATGGGGTCATATCCGGCACTTTTGAAAGGAAACTGGTGTTGAAAGGCAGTGAGGAAGCTTTTGCTGAGTACCCAGTGGCTGCTAGGTATCGTCTAGTCACCAGAAAGACCCAGGCTGAGACATGCTAGGGAGTTTCAGCCCTCTCTCGCATCTTCAGGAAGAGGAGAAAGGCTAGAGCCTGAGATAATAATGAATCATATCTGTATTCATGAAACCTTCAAAAAAAAACTCCTAATGTGGGCCAGGGATACAGCTCAGTGGCATAAGTGCCCACCTGGCAAGTGCAAGGTTCTAAGTTCGATTCCCAGTACCAAAAAAAAAAAAAAGAGAGAGAGAAAAAAGTCCCTAACAGAGTTGAGAGAGCTTCCTAGTTGGTAAACACACCCATATGCTGGTACAGCTCACCCCAATTCCACGTGCTTCCACCCTGTGCACCTCTTCATCTGCCTGTTCATCTATGCCCTTGTCACAACCTTTATGAAAAGCCAGCAAACATCACCCACGTGTAAATGGTGCACCCTGAGAGCATAACACTGAGTGGAATAAATCACACACAGAATGTTAAATATTGTATGGTTTCTCTACATGAGAAACCCAATGTATAAATAATTTATTAGCAAAATAAAAGATAGATGTTAGGAAATAAAAGTAGACTTTGTGGAGATAGAAAGAGGAGCTGGAAGTGGGGGGAAATGGGAGGTAAGGGGTGAAGGGGTAAGAAGAATCAGGGTGTCCTGTGTGGATGCACCCATTTCCTGTGATGAATGTACTTACTGTATATGGTAAACATACACTAACAAAAAGGTGGAAAGTCACACACACACAAGAAAAAATGAATAAACCAGCAAGCACAAGTAGATGGCTCCTTTCCCCAAGTTCCATGGGCCGCAGTGACAGCACAGTTTCACACCTGAGGCAGGGCTGGCCCTCTTTCCCATTTATAACTGGTTGCACAGAAAGATAACAGCCTAGGACTTGTGGCTGAAACCTGAAAGGGGTAATGTGGTGGAACTGAGTGCTTCCCTACCAGGTTAACCTCAGGTAGATATTGTCAGATTTGACTGAATTGTAGGGCACTCTGTAGGTGTCCACAAAGAACTAAAGAATTCTGTGGTGTGAAAATATCACACATTTGATGTCCGAAGCAGTGTGAAAATGCAGAAGAGAAACAGTTTTGTTTCAACAGAAACAGAGCAA